GGCACACACATAAAAAAAGAATAAATAAATAAATAAAAATTATCTAAAAAAAATTCTTTCATTAAAAAAAAAATCCTTGCCTCCAAGGAACAGCTTGGTTTCACCCACTTCAAGATATATCTATTACTTCTCTTGGCAGCCCCTGGTATGTTCAATGCTCTTCTCCAGCACCCTGTCTCTCGTGAAGCATCTGGTGGCCTTCAACTACATGCCTTTGGGATTGCAGTGCAGCTTCTTGCCACTAGGCCACAGAGCTCTCATGGTCTGAAGTTTTGGAAGCAGATCACCAGGCATTTCTTCGGTGCCACCTTCAAGTCAACTCATACTTCCAAATTTTGAGTTAGCTGCCAAGCACATTAATATTTGTACCTCCCAGGGACTCCTTTGTCAACATAGACAAGAAGATATGTATGCACTGAAATCCCACAATTTCATAAAAAACAACAACAACAAACAAACATGATTGAGTAGGCTATAACTAGATAGGAGGCCTGGCTGCATAGTCCCTAGAGAGCTGTGCTGCATTTTTAAAGCCAGCACGTCTCTGGTGGTTCAAATCCACAGTGTCTCTGCTGGAGAAATCTGAGTGCTTTCCTCTTGTGTAGTTCACAGCCTCCCCAAAATCCACTGAAGGGTCAGCTATGAGTCACTTCTGTTTTGATAGTAGTAAGTTTTTTAAAAAAATCTATATCATAATTTGCACATTAAGCTAAACTTTATTTTTAAAGGGGGAAGACTTTGTTTGTACCTGGTTTATGTACATAATAAAACTCTAAAAAGATACCCAAGGACTTAAGAAGAGCAGGTAACTATGAGGAGGAGCCTGACAGAATCAAGAGTATTAACTAGTCAAAATTGTAAAAGTATATGAAATTGGGAGCAAGAGGAAAGCTCTCTTTGAATGAAGGAGATGGGTAGAAGGGAGAACATTGTGTTGACCTTATACCTTTAAAAAGAGTTAGATTTAATTTGCGTTCTCCTCCAAGACATAGCTCAATTTTGAGAAGCACTATTTGTTGATGGGGTGAGAAAAAGAAAATCAAGACTTTTTATTTGCTCGTGCTTTAGACTTCCAAAAAGATTTCACTGTAGCCACTTCTTTGATATTTCACCTCATTGATATTTATGTCGTGATGAAGTATGTGTTTTGTATCCATAAATGAAAACTTACTGAGTGCCAGGATCTTTTTAGAAATACTTATGATTAAAGCTCACTTTCAGAGTTTTTAAAATGAAAATTAAAAAATGGTGTACATCTGTCAATTCCCAAGGATTTAAGAGACCTTTTGACATGTAATCCCAGGGTGTGAGTTACTCTCCCAAATTAGCTAATGACTGGTGGTTTGGAATTTCACTTTCAAGAAATAACAGGTGTGAAGTATATATAGCGCATACTCCAAATCCTGCTTTTCTTCGCTGGCTTTACGATGAAGACAGCCAGCCTAACGAGGACCAAACCTGAAGGGAGTTCTCACTGGGGAAAATTCCTTGAATAATAGAATTGAATTGGTTTCTGATTTAATCCTTGTCCACGGCTTTTAAACAGAATTTCCCACAGGAAAGTCGAATAGTGACCGTCTGAGAGTATATTGTCCCTGTTTCCATTTGTGTACTCGTGTGTACGTGTGTGTAATCTGTGTAGGCATGTGTGTGTATACATACACATATTTTAACCCAATTTCATTCACTAGCTGCTCAGGAGAGACCAGTCCTTGGAGAAGGAAATCATGCTTGGAAGGGTAGAGGGTCAGCACAGAAGAGGAGGACCCTGGATAACATGGATTGATGCGGTGACTGTGGCAATGGCGGCAGATGTG